CGTCATCATACGTGTAGAACTACCATTGGTATCATTATTAATAACATGCATAATAACCCTCTAGTAAGAGTGTATTGTGTATGGACACCAGTTGAGCTGCTCAGTTTTTTTTTAATCATTTCTCCAAACATTGTTGTTCTGCAGGAGCTTTACCAGAAGCTGACTGACTATGATATCCGTTTCTACATGTATGAGCTGCTCAAGGTAAAAACACATTTTGTCTACCTTTCCATTTATCTAAATTCTATAATGACTTATTTATGGAATACTCATCGTTGTTTACCACTTTTAAACAAAAAACTGAGTGTGGACGTTCATTTATAGGGTTATCTTCAGTAATGGACAGTAAGCAGAGTAATGCTGAGAAAATTGTAAAAAGACAGGATTTGGAAGTTTCATACATGTAATCTTAGGCATTCTGCTATTTTCTGAAATTTGTATTGAATAAATGATTAATCAAGTAGAACAAAATACAATCAAGTTAGCAATCAATAATGAAAACAACCCGAGTTATTTTCCTTTTGGCTTTATGAGTGTTTATGAGTCCTGACTTAGTTTAATCATTGAGAAGAGAAATCTGGAGCGGTGATACCCACTAGGCTAAAGAGAGAGCAGGGCAGCATGGACTGTTACAGACTGGCTGCAGTGTTGACTGTGTGTCTCTGTCTCCTCTCTAAGGCTCTGGACTACTGCCACAGTATGGGGATCATGCACCGGGACGTGAAGCCCCACAATGTGATGATCGACCACCAGATGAGAAAGGTACTGGCTACGACATATTTAGAGCGCTTTACCATTCTTTACAACCCCTCAGGACGCTTTACATGTTCAAGTGAGCATTCACACACATTCATACAGAGGCTTTGGCTGCCATGCAAGGTGCCACCAGCCCAAGTCATCTTAACATTAACAAAATGAAGGATGTTATGACATATTTAGGAAACACCTCAAAAGTCAGCTGTGGCCGATCTAACACACATAAAACAATGTGTCAGAATACTTTATTTATCCCAGGGGAACTTGGGTTTTGTGACATTAGCTTGATTTTAAAAGGAGATTAAATAAATCATAATAAATAAACTTAAGTTAAAGTAAGAATGTGCATTAAAAAAATAATGAATAAACCTAAACATTTTATTGGTAACATTTCCAATGAAAATAAACAGTTAAATTAATTTGCGATATTAAAAAAAAAAAAAAGATTGACTCTGAAGTGTTACGCTGCATTGTAAAACGTTTTAATTTTCCCTCTCTGTGTCTCAGCTGCGTCTTATAGATTGGGGTTTGGCAGAATTTTACCATCCCGCTCAGGAATACAACGTCAGGGTGGCCTCGCGCTATTTCAAAGGCCCTGAGCTGCTAGTGGACTATCAGGTAAATGCTTTTACAGATATTTACTCTTCAAATGAGGACAACACACACAGGTCCTTGTCTTCTTTTAAATCGTTTCTTGGCGTCTGATTTTCTCTTATTTCCTCCCTCTAGATGTATGACTATAGTTTGGACATGTGGAGTCTAGGCTGCATGTTGGCCAGCATGATCTTTCTGAAGGAACCGTTTTTCCACGGCCAGGACAACTACGACCAGGTGACCAGTCTATTATTTGAACACTCAAATGTCAAATCAAGAACTAAATATTGGGACCAATATGCATTTGATCTTGATAATGTATCCAAAATATGTAATTTAAGGGATTACATTTGTTATTTTTTTCCAGCTGGTCCGCATTGCTAAAGTTCTGGGCACCGATGAGCTCTTTGGTTACCTGCACAAATATCACATAGAACTGGACACTCGCTTCAAAGATCTGCTGGGACAGTGAGTATCAGGATTTATTACCAGAAACATAATCAAATATATTCAAAACACATGGTATAAAACACTATACAAGTTGTTTCTTTGGCAATGTATTTGGTCAAAGATGCAGTTTTATACAACATGTTTGTCTTGAATATGTTGCTATGTATTACATTGTTTTAGCTGCTTTGTTTTTGTGCGTCATAAGACTCGAGTACTGAAAATGGTCAGTTTCCCCTTTCATGTTACCTTTAGTCATTTGATCCACTGTTGCCCATGTTTGGACATCTGCTCTGTTTAAAAACAAACTTACCTTTTTGCATAATGAAAACGTAATTATATCCTTTAAATTGAGGTATTTAAGAAATGTGCAGTTAGTTCCATAAATCTGATTTTAGCATTTAGTATATATAAAGGAAAACTACTCAAAACACACTCTTTTTTTCTGAAAGTTCTAACTGAGGGAGTGTGTTGTACCAAAAGCTGACGTTTTGACAGTAGGAAAAGCACAAGTGTAAATGATAAAGTGAACAATGGCTGAATTCTATTTAGCCGCATCAGTGTCCTGGTATTGTAGGTTTAACAGTCACACTTTAATAAAACACCATCATTGTTAATCTTATTAGATTACACCCTTGCTTTAGTAAATGTTTAAAAAGTCAAAGCTGCTAGTACTGTTGGATTGTCATCACAACTGTTTAATTCACATAACAAAAAAGAGACATTTTAGTCATGAGAAATGTTTGTGTGCAGACAAACGAGGAAGCGTTGGGAGCAGTTCATCCAGTCGGAGAACCAGCACCTGGTGAGTCCGGAGGCTCTGGACCTGCTGGACAAGCTGCTGCGCTACGACCACCAGCAGAGGCTGACCGCTGCCGAGGCCATGCAGCATCCATACTTCTGTTAGTACTCACACCAACACATACGGACAGAATCCATGTTTTCTAAATACTGCCACCAGTCAATTATAGATTACAGATCTAGTTTCTCCTCTCCTACTTATTGTTAAAAACGCTGTGTGTATTTGAGGTACATTTTATTTTCACTTTTAAATATCAGTCCAGATTAAAGAGTCTGTTTAGCTCTCGCCTCTGCAATCAGATCAAATCCAGCCACAAGGATTCTCCCTCTCTAATCCACATTTGCAAAATAAATCATGAAGAAAGAACATGAAACGTGTACAGTAAATTATATTTTCCTTATCAAACTGAATTCCATATTTCACTACTACTCAAAAGAGCTTAATCGCCTCGTAAATTCATAGTTACACACTTCATTTAAACTTGACATAAATTGGGCATCACATTTTACAAGTCTGGTTCCACTGGTATGTTTATGTCCTTTTATGGACATTGCTGCATGTTTATAAAGCTGGTCGGGCACCAGGACAAATACGTACCTGTATTTACTTCATTTACCTGAGGTCTGGATAAGTAAATCAGATGCAGTCAATGATAATAACAATTCAAATGTTTCCCCATCAGATCCTGTGGTGAAGGAACAGGCAAATGCCAACACAGACGGCACAAAGGCCATAAGCAGCTCCAATGCAACATGATAACCAGAGAGCAGGTAATCCACGCATGTATGTATATTTACACTCATATCATTATATATATAAATCATATTTTCATGAAGGTTTTAATATTTATTTAATGTGTTTGAGTCCTGTTCTGAATTGTATATACTGACACGCTTTTTTTTATCGTTATGTCTACACCATTTGTATCATAGTAAACTCAGACAAACAGCTCTCAGTAAAACGCATGGCACTTTTTATAATTCTCCTTATTATAAAATCTATCAGATGATCATTGTTTGACATTTAGTCTGTTTATCGTCCCTCTTTCGCCCAATCAGGAAGAATCTTCGTTACCTCAACTTGTGACCTTTTCGTGGCAGAAACCTCTGCCTCCACATCAACAGCCATACTGGAGCAAGATGTCAATTTTGCAGCATACACAAAACACGCACGGATTAAACTTTCTCCTAACAAAGTCCAGGGGGGGAGGGGGGGGTCTGAGCTGCTTGGTCCGAGTCACAGATAAATCAGGTCTGAAATCAGATCCAACCCCCCCCCCCCTCTCCTCCTCCACCCTCCTCCTACTCCTGCCTCCCAACACCCCCAACCCGTTTTTAAAATGAGCAAAGTGACTGTTGTTGGATCAGTATCAAGCCAGTGTTGTGCCGTAAGACGTTTGTCCGTCATTACGATGCTGTGGTGACCTGAGATCCAGTTTTAGCACTGAGTGGCATGGAGGCTCTTTTCTGCTACGGATAGAACAAAAGCTATATTGAAAGAGAATAAACCATTTTTATTTAAAGACGCGTGTGTTGGACTTTCATTGACTCAGAAAGAGGTGAAATTCCACCTTTTCTGTTTTTCAGATGGCCGAATCTACAATCCAGATAGCAGTGGTGGAAAAGTACATTTACTCCAGAGTATGTACTTGTCATGCCATGTTCTGCCTCTACTCCACTGCAATTCAGAGGGAAATATTTGTACTTTTTACTCAACTACATTTGTCTGACAGCTTTAGAGACTTAACAAATTACGTTTGTTTGTAAATAGAACATGTGAAAAGTTTATTACAAAAATGTGACTACCCAACAGTTAATTAAAGTGTAGCTGCAACAATCAATAAGTCAATGAGAGAAAACTACTTTGATCATACTAGTAATATTTCATGTAAGAACAGTTGATGGTTCTAGACTACCTTTTCTCCTAATTGTAATGCATTTGTATTAATGTTGAGGTCTGAGCAAGACAAACTTGATGGCATTTCCCACTATTTTCACTACTTTTACAAAACCATAACGAGCAGAAATAACCTCCAGCAACCAGAGAGTACAATCCTGCTATTACATTAATGTTTGAGTTATAATCTGATGATTTAATATATAATAGTATGAAACGTTTATTTCTATCCGACTGCAGACTGACGAGATTTTACCAGTAGTGAAAGAAGATATCAGATTTTTTTACTTAAAGTAAAAGTTGCAATATTACAGCTACAGGTAAATGTCCTGCTTAGTAAGTTTAAGTGTTACTAAAATATAAGTACTCATTATGCATAATGTCACATTTAGAGTATTAAATTGTGGGGCTCACAGGGTCCAGTTATGTACACAAGAAACATTTCCTAGGTGAATTTGTCAGCAGTGATTGTTTTGATGCTTTATGAAAAAGACCAGAGAGCTCATTACATGTGTGTACTTTTTAATAAATAAACTGGAACTTCAAGATGTTTTCCAGAACATAAAACACTTGTGCAACATTCGTGCGTTACAAATAGGTGCATTCGTTTCGGCGAATCCAGGGCAATGGTTTGATGTCGGCATACGACCAACTGCTCCAATTTAAAACGTACATCTGCTTACCCAATGGCTGCATTTGTAAACACAGCAGAATCAATTGTTCAATTACACAATGGTCTTTGGATCCAAAGTATTTCAAATGCATCACGAGTAGAATTCACATTTTGTCAAGTTGTATTTTTTAGTTAAAAACTGGAACTACTAATGCTGTTCAGCCCAAATCCCAGCTTTATTTCAGCTCAAAGACGGCTTGGCCCAAACTGAATGCCCTGACTGACATCTGAAGTTTCAAGTGTCAAACGCATAATAAAAAGCAGTCTAAAACCACACAGCTAGCTACAGCAGATGAGCTTTACACCCATCGAAGGCACACCCACAACACCCCCGCTTTCCCCTCAGCCAGTGACTCATGCCTGAGTGAAGAACCATGATGAATGGCTGCTTCTCTAAAAGCCTGACAGTGAATTTAAATTACCGCTTTGTCATTTTTTTTTATATGTAAAAGAAAAGTTCTACATTACTGCAAATTCACTCATTGGCTTAGTTTGCAGAGAGCTAGAGGAGAAGATTGATACCACTAGTATCGACATTGCTGGTTAGCTTAGCATAAATAAAAACAGCTAGCTTAGCTCTAAATTCCCTTTTTTATGTAGTGTTATTTGCAGCAATATTTCTGGTTGTACAAAAGTACAGAAAAAAACCAGCTCTGCTTTTGTTCTGAAAAGTACAAGTTGTGTATTATACATCAGGCTGTAATTAGCTTATTAAGCTAACATTTACTCCATTAATTAAAATAAAGTTATGAATAGCTGACTCATTGTCGATATATATTAATGTAAAGTTTCTTAAATGCACTTGATGAATGTACACATGATATCATGCTAAAAGACTGATGCTAAAGCCAATAATTAGCATTTAGTAGCTAGAGTAGATCTAGCTAGTCCTTGTGTTAGAAAACATGTAAGATCTGACTGCTCATTCTCACGCATACATGTATTTCTAAATAATATGATTTTATCTTCACAGGAAAAGGCTATCATAATGAGGTTCTAACTGATGTGTTAATGGCAACATCTGGAACCGCTTCTGAAAAGTAAATGTCTCCAAATTAAGGAGCGGGACAGAGCCACTAAAATTAGCATAAACACTGTGATAAAGGGCTGCACAGTGGATGTTTTGGTCATGAGTGTAGCCTTTAACTACATAAACAAAAATGATAAGTTAATGATATGAGTCTTGGCTTTGGAGATTGGAGGCATGCTAACATTTGAGCAAAAAAAAACACTATTTATTAACCTTTTCCTTTCTCCTGGTTCTTCAGTTTTTGGTTTGAGTAGACCAATTTTGCAAACAACATACCTATCTCTTTCGAGCCCTATGGAGCTAGCCTCAATGGATACATTTGAGTTTCCAAGCTATGATTGTTCAATCAATGCTCAGTGTAGGGTCAACTGCTGTTTTTATATTTCGGACAGAGCCAGGCTAGCAGTTACATGAGACCGATATTAATCTTATCTACATTTCTGTAAAAAATATCCTTCACTTTAGCATGAGAAAGTTTGGCTTCTGTAGAGGGGGAGCTCAGGGACGGGGTCACATCACAGTAGCTTATTGATATGAAAAGACCACCAAGGACACTGCTTAGACAGTAAGAGCTGATTTTCTTCTTGATAACACTGATATTTTTTAAAAGCACCCTGGGAAAGCTTAAATACTTCACCAAGTCCACTGGCACTTGACAACTTAATGATTCATGGTCTCAGTAAATATATACCCAGGGTTTATAATATGTCCGTCCTTGGTGTCTTTTAAAAATGCAAAATATCTAAGGCATAAAAGCAATGCTGTATAAAATAAAAAAGGTATAAAGCTAAGACCAGAGACATTCATTGTGTTCTCTTAAAAGTAAAAAACTTAAATAATTGCATAAATAAGCATGTGATTATGTATAAATCTGTACATGACATGTTAGTGGTGTCCTGTACAGGCGCTGAGTGCAGTGATTATGTATGAGTCTACATATTTAATGTTGGTTACATCGCAGAGTTGCAGTATTGAGGTAACTTCATAATAGGAGTAAAGGCGAGGAGGGCACATGCAATTGGGCAAAATGTAGATAGAGGTGTTAGTGTGTTTGTCCCTTTTTGTTCGTAACATTCAAGTTTTTACAAAATTTGCTAAAATAAAGCATAATACTGCTTTATTTTAGTGATATCGAACACACCACATGCTCCACGTCTTCTTCTTTGATTCAGGTGGTGCGGGGGGGTCTCAGGGTAGCAGGTGTTGAAGCGCTGAATCGTCCAGTTCGTTGACGGAGACGATGTGATCCAGGTGTTGCAGGTAACGCTCCTGGTCCCGCATGAAGTGAGGGATTCTGGTCCGTGGGAGGACAGCCAGGGGACGCAGCCTCTCCACGTCTTCGAAAGACACCTGAAGAGAGGAAGAAGAAGAAGGTGCATCAGTGGAGGGGAACACCTCCAGGACAGTGGTGGGGGTACATTTTCTCAAACTCTACATATTTAAAGAGGTATTTGAGAATTTAATTTAATTCAACTATCACTGTCAGAGGTACATTTTGACAGCTTTAGTTACTTTTCAGATTGGTTTTCTTTGGATAATGCATCACAAATCCTCACAGAGCTGAAAAAAGGGCTGTTTTTTTCCCCAGGACAATGCTACAGACATACAGTATGAAGCTGTTACGGAAAATAATTGATTGCGACCTCTCAGTTTATAGCATTACATTTTATACTGAAAACGTCCTGCAGGGGTCAGAAGCTGCACATCACCCTTCTTTAAATCTGTACAGGAGTCTGCATTAAAATCAATCCAAACAAGCCGATAAGACATGGATATATTTTATGTATTATTATCTTTTGATATTTTAGGACCTGGTTTAAAGTTGTTTATCTACTTAATTATTCCCAGAAGTTGAAATAGCTTTTTTAAAGGCGGTTTAGAGATAAGGGTTCCTTACTTACCTGCCATATAGTAATCGTTGTATTAGGAACAAAGGCTCTTATTATTTGAAGCTGACGACACTGACCTTGCCTAAAGAAGTCAACATCTTGAAGTCAATATTCCTTCGATGCCTAAGGATACGAAGGATCCCATCCAGATAAACCTGATCTTTACTGAAGCAACCTGAGAAAAACAGACACACAACATGCAGGAAGAATTCAAATAAAAGTATCATCTTTCAGGAAGACCCCTTCATAATATAAGATAACTTATGGAGAGGACTGGGTTTTGTCTCTCAGTCTACATTAATGCTACTTTCTTGTTCTCCAATTGGTATCTTGTAACAATAGGTTGTCTTAGATTTGGACATAGACTGTGTGTGTGTGTGTGTGTGTGTGTGTGTGTGTGTGTGTGTGTGTGTGTGTGTGTGTGTGTGTGTGTGTGTGTGTGTGTGTGTGTGCGTGCATGTGTGCGTGCATGCTGACTGACCTGGCTCCGAGGTGTCCGTCTGCCCCCTCTTGGCTCTCAGGCAGTACTCCCAGCGGACGTCGGGGTCCTGTACGAAGCGGGCGATGTGGCTGAAGAGGCGGCTGAAGCTCATGCTGGCGGCGTGGTACACGGTGTAGTACAGCAGGGCGGCACGCCACAGGTAGGGCTGTTTCCGTAGCAACACGCTGTGCAGGCTGGCCAGGCCCTCCTCTGTGGGATTGGCCGGTTTGAGGCCGAACTGCTTCCTGCCTTCAGTGGTGCACCACGGCTGCAGGTTGTTGTTCACCCCGCGCAGGTAGTGTGTGCCTGAGGAGAGCATAAAGAGCCATGAGTCAAACAACATGGCATCTTTGGTTATTTTATTTCCCTTTTTTTCACTTTCTATTATTTTCTTTTTGTATCCATTATTTTATGCCGTTTTTCTTAGTTTCTTTATATTTTTCAGTTTATTTATCTATTTCTACCATGTTTTTAGTAAGTAGTATTCATAAAGTTAATTTTCCTTCCATTATAATTGGTTTAGTTTTTTTTTTTTTTTTCTGTGGTCTTGTTATGAGAAGGTAGTATCTGATGCTAACCTAACTGATAGTACTGATCGGTTTACGGAAATGTTATTGGTACTATTTCATTATATGAGGTTGGTTGTGTTTTTTCTTTTGTGAGACATCTTTTCAACCCACTGGTAAACAACCTTTATCCAAATGTCATCTGTGCTCCGGGTCGGATATCAGCATGCTAATGTTATTGGTATCAGATGGGTCAGTTTAAGGTGAATTTAGTGATGCCTACTGATCAAATGTCAACATGTTCCATTGTTTTCCTCTATCTTCTCCACCCTGTGAATACACTACTGTTTCTGTAGCTGCTAGTTACACTAAATGTTTTTCCTGTACAGCATTAACCCTCTGGATGTCGTTGTTTCACCCTATTTTGTCAATGAGAGCAAAGATTAAAAAATTTTTTTACCACTGCTATCTGGATTGTAGATTCGGCCATTTGAAAAACAGAAAAGGTGGAATTTCACCTCTTTCTGAGTCAATGAAAGTCCAACACACGCGTCTTTAAATAAACCTGAATGAATCAACTCTGAACTTCAAACCTTCTGCAAATACACTCACTGAGAGATTCCTGGTGTGTGTAATGTGGTGTTACACTTTGTTGAAATGATATGACTCTCTGTGTTTGAGCGGCAGCATACCGATCTTCATGTCTCATCCAGGCATCCCCTCCCAGCCAGTACTGCCAGAGCTCACGGCCATGTTATGGTCAGGGTGGGGCGACAGCTCTCCTCCACACCATCACCCACCGCCTGAGAGGAAGCAGCTCGTCGGAAGACGCACCACACCCTACACACCCACACACCACACCATCACACGCACACGTATACAACTACACACACACACACACACACACCACACACACACACACACACACACACCCAAACACACCACACCACCACACACACACAACCACACACACACACACACACACACACAAACACACACACACACACACCACCCACACACACACACACACACACCCACACACACACACAAACACACCACACCACACACACCACCACACACAACCACACACACACACACACACACACACACCACAACCATCCACACACACACACACACACACACACACACACACACACACACACACACACACACACACACACACACACACACACACACACACACACACACACACACACACACACACACACACACACACACACACACACACACACACACACACACACACACACACACACACACACACACACACACACACACACACACACACACACACACACACACACACACACACACACACACACACACACACACACACACACACACATCCTTATTAATGATATCTTATTCTTCCTCCAAATCCTGGCTGGATTTTTACCAAGATAAACTTTGTTCAATCAGAACTAAATGTACAAACAGTTTCCATCTTAGGCAAATAGAAAGGTTAACTGTAACTGCTCAAGGCCAGACCTAGTTTGTTAGCGGCCCTATTGTGCTTTTGGGGGTTTTTTCCCTTTCCTGTAATGTGATATATGAGGAATTGTGTCCCCACACACCTGCCTGAAATGCACCAATCGGACTCCTTTGTTTACTTCCGTGACATAGTAGACGGAAACATTGGTTTAATCTTTGAATTTTTTTTGTATTTTACACTATTTCTTCATAATTTGTTATGTCAAATCTTAATCTGAAAAGTATTAAATAATGTGAGGAATAATAGTTGTTATGGGGGGAAAAAAGATGATTATTTCCCACTGAGATGTATGTATTATGTATATGTTGGAGAAATACTGTTTTCTCCACTCTTTGGGTTGTTTTAATGCACTGATATCATGTGTGGCTCTGAACTGTGTATGACCTCTTCTTGTGATAGGAGGAGGCAGGGCATATCAGGTTGTTGATATTTATGAGAAGACAGACTTGCTGTCTCCTAAATAACTAATTTCTATGAAGCGTGAAGGAAGTACGTGACTCTTTCCAGAAGACCTCACAGATGACCCATCGCAGATGACCCGACTTTCCGACACCCGCGGCTGATATTAGCGCCACCTCGAGTTACGACTTTGTTGTTATCTCCTGTGTTTTGGACTATATAAGCCTGATGTTTTTTGCTGTTCCTTTGAGCAACATACCTCATGTGTGTGAGTTAACCCATATCCTTTGTATGTGATTTAACTCTGCTCCTTCTTGCAAGAATAAATTAGTTACCTGATCATTGATTCTCAACCTGGTGTCGAGTGATATTTTTCTAACAATTACCTTAACATCTTGAAGTACCTGAGAATGACTAATTCAATACTTCTCAGCAAAATAAGTACATGGTTGCAACTAACTAACAAATTAAGAATGATTTAAATTGTCTAATTTTCTGCTGTTTATTAGTCAAGTTATGCCTACATTGTTTTTCCTCATATATTTTCAGATTTATCTACACGTTAATTTCATCTTTTCTTTGAGTCGTGTTAAATCCAGAGGCTGAATTTGTGTGCTAGTGGTTATATGTGATGTACTTGTGCCAAGCTCAGGTTCAGGTGGTAAAACATCAAACAAATCTCACTGCAGGACGGTAAGGGGGTGATTTTAGCAGGGCAGGTCAGGGGGAGGGTAAACACGGTGAAGACCACCAACAATGTATTATGTGTTAAAGACATCACTAGTAACACACCTTTCTTTAATAAAGTTCTCACAGTAAAGTCTAAAGCTTGTGCCAATTGATGATAACACTGCAAGCTTTATACTTACATTTTTACTATTGTTAAATGAGATCAAAGATGTTGAGAAATTGTTTCTTAACTGGATTTCCTTTATCAAACTACACTCTGCACACATGTTGACATATATCAAACCACAGGTGTGAATAATAACAATTCAATTAAGAAGAAGAACATTATCGTCACAAGTTTATGTCCCTGCCCGGATTGAAAAATACAGAGTTTGGACGGGTAGCTCGTCTGCTGGGGTGTCTGAAGTGTCCATGAGCAAGGCAGCTAAGACTTAATGCATTTGTTTGTGCATACAAGCATTTTGGGCCTAAATGTGGGTCACTTGAATAAAACCAAAACCTTTGCTTTTTCCTGCTGAATGTCAAAATACCTGCTGTTGTTTAAGGCTCTGTGCTGCATGTCACTCACCTCTCCCACGCAGCCTTCTTTCTGCAGATATTTACGAACAGCAGCCCAGACTTGACTTTTAGGGAGGATGCTGCCGCCTGTCACCACCTCGAAGTTCTCATAGCAGCCAAACTTCCTCAGGACACACTCCATGATCCCAACCGCCTGCAGTGGAACATACAAATCATCATCACCATCATCATGTGAACTCACAGGTGATATGTGCGGATGTGCAGTACTGTACCTGTTCCAGGAAGAGGCCGGATCCCTCTCGGTACTTGTCCAACACGCTCCTCGGCTCCGGCTGGGCGTACTCAAACTGAGGCTCGTACTTGTAGTCGGACTGGAAGAAAGTCTGCTTCTCCTGCTCCAGGTTGAGGGGCCTGAGGGCCACCAGCAGACAGGGCCTGGAGGATGTGGGCAGTGAACTCCCGGCCACCCCCTTAGGTATGTGTGGCAGGGAGGTGGCAGGCCGCATTTGCCCCCTGCTGGCTCGTAGACCAAGGGAGTAGTTGACGGAGCAGGTGCTCTCGCTGCGCCGCATCCATCCTGCGCCCAGGCTCGGGCTGGTCAGGCTGCGTGTGGGGGGTGAGGGGGCGGCCGGACCACTGCGCCAAGGGGGCTGCACCATCCGCCTGTCTGCCATCTGCTCCTGAGACCCTCTCAGCCGCTGGGGTGTCATCTCCAGGCTGAGGGGGCGGCGGAGCGGCGGTCTTGGAGTAGCCCCGCCTTTTGATGATGATGGCCTCCTCTGTGCCTGGCTGCCATTCGTCTCGGTCGGAAGTCCATTTTGGGACACCTTCTCTTTCTTGGCATCATTGCTCTTCTTGGCGGGAGGTGTGGGCGTCCCTGTGGTTTTGGTTGGATCTGCTCGGACGTTTGGCTCCATCAGGTCCCTGCTGCTCCCAACACTTTCACCCTCAACCTGATCCATGAAGACTTCAACTGAGTCTAACACCATCACCACGCCCGCTACGCCTCAGTCTCAACCTTCCTCCAGCCCCGACGCTGTGGACACACAGATTCATGCATACTGCTTACTGTTGCGAGTGATGGTGTTTGTGTGACAGATGAGGAAAATGGGTTGATGTCTGTCACTACACGTGGTGGAAGTCCTGCATTCAAACCTACATTATAAAAAGTAAAAGCAGTAACTGCGCAAATATGTTCAAATGTTAATGTCATATATTGTGTTTTTGGATTGATACAACTGCTGCTGTTAGGTGTATGTTGCATTTTTCTTCTGAAGATATTTAATGTTGTTTTAATTGTAACTCTTTTGTATATAGAAATTCTATGAGATCATCTTTGAAAATATAATGTATTATAACTTAGGGTTACAGCTTTGTTATGATGCAATCTCCAGCTGATCCAGGGGGAGACTGAAGCAAAAAAGCTTGTAAATACTTTATTAAAATAATAGGAGAATTGTATAACACTTCATCCCTGTCAGACAAATGCAGTGTAGTAAAAGGGACAATATTTCTCTCTCAGATGTAGTGAAGTAGAAGTATAACGATAAGAGTGAAAAACTCAAGTAAACACAAGTACCACACATGTTTACCCAAGTACAGCAGTTGAGTACATTTACTTAATCCACCACTGATGCTGCTTATTGTTGCTGCTGGTATGAAAGAGGAGGACATGAGGTTGATGTCAGTCACTGCTGATGCTTTAATTAGATTACAGTTGAGACGCATGTCAGTGAATGTGTCAGTATGTATGGACACAGATTAACCAACAGGAAACAGACAGTCCATGTTGTCTGGACAGGAACAAAGCACCCATCAGAAATCAGAAATCATTAAGTATACAGCTAACCACTAGTAACATACTAAGCTAACAGTTACTTATATTACATGAAAGAACAGAATACAGTTTAATTTTCAATTCTCCATGGAGACAGTAGACCAAATAACAGACACAGGGATTCATTCTGAAGACAACTCTTTAAGAGCCCTTTAACTCACAAACTTAAATAAATAAGCTTACTTACCGAGGAACAGCGAGTCCCAGGACTTCTTTAAAGATGCCTGCCCTTTCGTTCACTCATTCCGGCCGCAGCTCCACAAACCGGGCCGAGGAGGCTGTGTGCCGGGGAATGATGATAATTAGCGGATAGCGGTTCAGTAAGGAGCGGGCCTGAGGCGCCTGCCTGGGCCGGCCAGGGAGGAAGCGGCGGTTGTGTTGGAAGATATGACGCGTTACGCCGGGTACGTCTGTACGTCATGACGCTACCCCTTGCGTCCTTAAAAATGTGTTTATGTCAAATACAGAATAAGGCACATAGACATCAATGTTCATCATATAAGCGGTGCAACTTTATATTAAGGTAAACAAATTAACCATCAACTAGTTGTTAATTAACATGCATATCAGCAGTATATTGGCTCTTTATTAGTCATTATAAAACACTTATTAATGCCTTATTCTACATGACCATATTCTACAAGTATAGGCCATGAGTTGAGAGCAGCAGCCATATATATAGATAGAATAGTTGCGACAGCGGAAGTCCAAAATGCTTGATCGTCACGTGGTTCAGGGAGACTCAATAGTTCCCCGGAAGTTCGTGGCGGGACATTTGAATCACGATTTGAATGCATTAATACGATTAATACCAGGATAGAAATGCAATTTTTGGTAATTAGTGGTCAATAAAGGTTTTGATTTGCAATATGTATACAACATATCGATATGTGTATGTAGTTACATCAATGTTTTGTTTTTTTAAAAGTAAAATTTGCTAATATTTGAGGATTAAGATAAAATAAGAAGTACTTTATTGATAACAATTGGGGAAATGTTTACGCTGCATCAGCAAAAGACAAGGCATTGTACATTAGACAGTTAAAAGACTAGAATCAAACAATCGAAAATGTAAACATCTTAAATAGAAATAAAATAGCATTACAAAAAGTAGAAAATAGACATAGTGTGAACAGCTATCTTACCTGTTAACATATACATGTTAGGCTTACGTTGCCTTGGTTAAAGAGCCTGTTGTTTATTGCTTTGAATTCTTTAAAACAAATATTATCTTCTTAAACCTGTATGGTAGTCAGGAGCATCACAAATGAATGTTTATTGATATATTTAGAGGGAGGGAAGGAAGGTTTCAAAATTCTGATTAGATACATTTCTACCATTTATTTCATTCATGGTGGTTTCAGTAATCCCATGGTAATTGAGGACATAAATTATCTAAATGAGTAATGTAATCTTGACTTTCAGAAAGGACAGGAGACCCACAGGTGCCTATCAATGATTGTCAACTGACAGCACAATGAGTCAAAGGACTAGCAGCAGCAGCATGATGATGATGTTCAATGTGTTGTTTTAGGAACATCCATTGTAAATAAATGGAATTCAATAAACATTGAATAGAAAATCATGCAGTTTGTCTGTGCCTTTTCCTCTGTGTTGTCCTGGCATATAGTCTCCCCCATGGTTTGCTGTGCTGCCGGGGGATGCTCCAAGCGCTCAGAGAAAGGAGTACAAATGTACGGCTTCCCCACTGACACAGAGAGGAGGAAAGAATGGCTGGCTCAAGTCAGCAGGAGCAATTGAACTATCACAAAAGACAACAACAGCAACAAAACATGTGAGGTAATCATATTGTTCACAAAACGAAGACCACACCATTGGGAAGCTTAACGTCTGTTTAATCAAAAATAAGGAACAGGGAGAGGCTTGCAAAACTCTGGGAGTTGAGACTCAGGTGCAGGGTGAGGGTCTCATTGCAGGTCTTCAGGCTCCATTGAATCCCCCTGGGGTTCTTGTGCTGAAAGAGGGAGACAAAGACAGGAGAAAGGGTTAGATACATCTAGCAACCTATAGGATGGGAAATTGCTGACCTGTTTTAAACTTACCTTGTGTTTTCACTCTCACTTAAGTCCCTCTCCCTTTGCCATCAATCCAAAATCAGCTGAGCATCATAATACAGACAGGTAATAATCAACAGAATCACAAGGACATATGGCTCTACTAAAAACACTCACCCATAAGTTACGTTTTTGTTTACTGCTTGAAAGTCTCAAATATGCACTCTAAATCCATATATCAATAGCGATGTATCACAAAAATAGCTCTCTTCCTTATTATTGTGTAACGTTAACTATATTATACTAGCTTGAACTCCAAGATGGATATCCTCATTTCACCACCTCCACCCACTACAATTACACGCCCCAATGTTATATTTAACTAATATTTAACTCCCTCCACCCCGGATAAAAGCACGTTAAGAAGCCCCTTTTCTCTAATTCCACAACGTTGGGTTGAAATAACATTAGGAGAACGGATTAATAGGCTGTTCATGGTTAACGTGTGTTGCTAACTTTATCCGGTATCCAAGCCTAATCTGTTATCTGTAAACGTTCCCTAAATCAGGGCTCAACGCTAACTTATAAAAGTGGTTGCCAGGCTGGCAGGAAGTTGTTGTATATGAGCTTTGGTCTTAATATGCTCTCCTCAATATGTCTAAATAACTCAAAATTAGGTATTTCTATGTTCCCTATTTTAAAGTGAAGTCTTGTTCATAACCAATAAGCTAGTAGTTTGACTCTAATTTACCTGAACAGGTCCCCTATTCTAAAGTGGCCTCCTCTTCACACTTTGCAAATACATTATAGCACACAACTACTGAAATTAACCTTAATAGTACATGAACAAAGTAGGCACACGTTGAAATATCTGTTTTATTAATGAACCACTAAAGAGAGGTTCAGACACATGTACCAAAACATGTCAAGTTTCTCCAAGGCTAAGAACACATAATGCAGCCTGTACTTTTTAATAAAAAACGATTTTTAACAGAGTTTAAATATTTGTGATCATACTGTGTGACCTGCTTGTATGTACTTACACACTAGATGTACTGTTCTCTCTATGTGTTGTACTGTCTCAGTGTGAACATATATTAAACAGCCAGCCAAACTCTTTTGAGAGCCAGGGAATGAGCAGCCATGCTCCTTTATTGACTTATTTGCAGCCCACTGACATTCAAACGGAGTGAAACTATAAAAAAATAAGTTATAAGGCACTTAATGATCTCATACATGCAAGTGTAACATACACAGATGACTTGTAGAATATGGTCATGTAGAATAAGTCATTAATAAGTGTTTTATAATGACCAATAAAGAGCCAATATACTGCTAATATGCATGTTAATTAACAACTAGTTGATGGTGAATTTGTGTACCTTAATATGAAGTTGTACCGCTCATATGATGAACATTGATGTCTATGTGCCTTATTCTGTATTTGACATTGTTTCAATAAAAAATATATAACTCAATATATTGAGTTAGTAAGTCAATATATTGAGATAGCTAAGTCAATATATTGAGATAGTAAGTCAATATATTGAGATAGTAAGTCAATATATTGAGATAGCTAAGTCAATATATTGACTTACAGGATTTTTTTTGTTTCCTGTGGCGCAAACAGGCTTCCATAATATTCCATTACTCAATTTTTTTTAAACATATTTTTAATGCTCCTGAATTTCCTAATGTTGGATAAATAAAGTATCTATTTATCTATCTATCTATCTGATAGTTGTGTTAACGAGCAGTTGAACAAGTGTACCTAATAGAGTGACCAGTGAGTGTATGTTGAGCAACTCCAAATATAAACCTGTAGCATAAGGCTATAAGGATGGATAAAGTGCATAGATTATAGCAGTGGTTCCCAACCTTTTTTCCCAAGAGCCCCCCCAAATGACTCCTGTTGGAAAACACATAATCAAAGTAAGCCGGATTTTGCCGATGTGTTTATGTGGATTCAAAAGTCGTAAATAATCTACAAAATGGAGGAGACCGATCTGATCGGAGCAAATGTGACAAATAATCCAACTGAAACCGGCATGGACAATGACTATGTTTTAAAAATGCGCTTATCCAGAAAAGCCTGGTTTGGACACTTTACGGGCAGAAGAAACATTTATATTAAAGAAAGAATTATACATTTCTGTCTTTTTATGCCTTTAGCTACTAACTTGAATTGTTATTCAAATTAATTAATCAATTATTTTTTATATTTTATTGTAATGTAGAGACAAGGCTTTTAGTGACAATCATGTATTGCTTTACAATTATTTGGAAAAAATAAATAAAAATAGCCTAAATATGATATTTGGCCTCAAATCATCTGAGGCCTGGAGCCCCCCCTGCGATCTTTGGCGCCCCCCAGGTTGGGAACCACTGGACTATAGCATATGTTTGCACACTTACGATCAACCTGATCTCACCAGAATGCGTGACTCCACCACGACTCCTTAACACCGCATTGCGTGGTGGAGTCACGAACTTTGCTACATTTACGTGTCTGCACCACGCAAACAACCTAAAGTGAATGAGGCTCCTTTGTCGTGGTGCACACACGCATTTCTACAACGTCCAGTAGTGAGCTTTTATTCTATAAAACGTTTTTAGAATCTACTTTATAGCTTGTAGTAACTCACGGGAGGCTTCTTTTATTTTATTTGTAGGCTATTCATAATCATTTGTATTTTTCGTCAGAATGTATTATGGCAACCCTGTCTCCTAAAAATTACGTTCCCACAGCACTAAACTGCATTCTCAATTACGTTTAGCTAGAAACGAATTTTCTCCCACGTTACGTTATGAACGTATCTTAAATACGTTTATTTTCTACATATCTTTGCCATTTATTGTCTTGCTTATATAATAATGATAATAGTCATTTATAAATATCATTTTAGAGCACACATTTGAAATCAGGTGTCTTTACGTCGTTGCTTATTAACATGTAATTGCTGCTATAAAGATAATAACGTCCTCTGTGGTGTTTAATAAAAGTATGATAGTTGTTCAAATAATAGCCATGAGCAATCACCAGCCTTCTATATATACAAATATATTGTGGTTTTTACATCACATTTACAAATACATTAACATTCATCTATTAACCCTCTGGAGTCTAAGGGTATTTTCTCGATTTTTAGATGTTTTCTTAAATCACCTTTTAAATGTATTTCTTCTAAACTGGCACCCATGTGTTACATATCAAAATGTTCAGGACAATCTCTAGTATTGCTATATATGCAAATTACTCACCTTAGAGCACTGTTTGATGAGATAAGTAGCTCAAAAGCTTAAAATTTGACATCCGATTTTCGGAGAATCTTCAAAACTCTTGTGAAAACACAAATTTACTCATGTGATCGAATTGT